TTTTGTTGAATTGTATATATATATGATGATATCATAAATCTGGAGGGGCCAGAAAGTTATGCAGAAATAAAACTACATCTATATATATTTAGGTATGGTAAATACATCAAAAATCAGGGGGCCATGGCCCTCCCTAGCCCGAAGGTTCCACCCCTGCTTGTGTGTTTTTTCGCGTCACGATCAAATAACGTAAGTGATACCACGCCGATAAAGTCTTGTACTATAATGGTGATTTTGAAACTAAAACCATTGATATAAACAAATTCAATAATATGAACTTAGAAAATTTAATCGAAGATTATAATATTATGTATAAAAGATCTATTGAAAACCTTGGAACAATAGATACGTCTTTGTTCATTCAAGTTGAAGTGTAACAATAAAAAACTTCTTTATCCTACTTTTCGTCTGTTCCACTAGCTTTATCGTCATGCATTAAAACGAATTTTATGACTTTCTATTGACAAACATAGATCAACACATTAAAAATCAATGTAAATGGTATAATTTTATTTCTGTAACTAAATGAATGAAACTAATATGCTCAAAATAGATTAGTTAATTTTTTTCATGACCTCTCAACAAGAACACATTAATAACAAATAATAAAAAGATAGTAAAAGCAAGAAATTGAAGAAGAATAAGAAGAACAGAGTAAAATAAGAGCTTGGAAAAAGAATTGGAGAAGAAGATTGCTCAAGAAGAACACTATAAGTCATAGGACTTAATCTAAAATCGTAAGAATAACCACTTTAGTGTAATCGTGTGTGTGTGTGTGTATATATATATATATATATATATATATATATATATGATGTTTTTGAATAAGGAAATCATTATTTTCTAAAAAAAATTGGGATCCTAAGATATCATTTTGGAGATTTTCCACTATTCATCTGAAAAAAAAAAAGAAGATATCAGTTATATTAATTCAAAAGTTCAAATTAATTGACTTTCTTATTTATTTAGTTTTAAAATTCAAACAATTATCTCAAATTGATTCATTTTATGTGGGATATACTGAAAGATAAATTATGAATAATATTGACTTTAATTTTAACTCTTAAATATTTTGCTGATTTAATGGAATTAGATTAGATTTAGTTAATAACTTAATTATTGATATGCTTGTTTAATGGGTTTTATGAAAAATAAATAAATAAATAACAAAATATAAACGGGTTTAAATTTGAAAATAAAAGCTATAAATAAGAAAGTTAAATTATAAACAATATTAATTAGAGAAACTTATATCATGTATATAAATAGAATGATATGTTTCAATTGATAAAATAATTATTGAATTTAAAGATTCTATAATTATTAGATTTCTATAATTATAATTTAATATAATTATCTTTGAATTTTATTTGGGGAAGATGATATCAGCAATTTGATATAATGGTGGAAAACATAAAATTAAAACACAATCAAAAGTCCTAATTGTTTCATATTAAAGGTTCACTTTTAATAACATTTAAAGATAATATTTAGAGATAGTAACGAAATTCACAGTTGTTTCGGTAATTTATTAACAATCAAAAATCCTAATTGTTTCTTATTAAAGGTTCACTTTTAATAAGATTTAGAGATAATATTTAGAGATAAGTAACGAAATTCACAGTTCTTTCGGTAATTTATTAAGCTATGACATAATTTAATATTGGTTGAACACATACCTAATATAAAATGTTTAATAACTAAAAATAATATTGACAATATCTGTTTTTAATGTATGAATCACTCGTTGCTCACAAGTAAAGCTAAAATTTTGCTTGTAAAGTTAAACAGTACAAATATTCTTCTGCCATGTTCACTAGCAGTAGATGGACACGCGTCATGTTGGCTTTGTCACATAAAGCATTATAATAAATGTTTAGGTAATAACAAACATTATAATAGTTCATGGTTACAAGGGCATTATGGTAATTTTAATTAGACCTTTTGTTGGGTTAAACTATGGCAATAATTATAAATAATGATTAAAATTTTAAAACTCAAAAGCTACTTTCCTGTAAACCAAGGAGAAGTCGACACCATTGTTGGTCAATTACATCCACTAAACCAAAGCCACTTAGGGGCACTTTAGTAAGTTTACATTCCCTAATAATATCGTTGAGTCATTAAGCTAGCCCACATACTCTACCGGGCTTTAAGATCCATTGGGCCCTGGTGAGCCCATTAGAAACAAAACGTTGTTACTCGTTACTACATACTTGCATCCATAATCTATTCTTCTTCTAATCCAGCCACATTCCTTAGTCCCCACCCAATTACATAAGCCGCAAAACCAGCAATTGCACCATTGAAAAGGGTTCCCACCACCGACAACGCGTAATTCTGACCGGCGATCTTCGCCTTCGCGATTCCGAGAGCCGCGAGTGCAAGGGCGGAGAGAACACATGCACCGATGAACTTGAGGGTGTCGTTTTGGGTAAATGGGATGAGAACGATGAATGCAATGATCGGAGCACTACCAAACAATAGAAAAGCTCCGAAAGTTACTAAGCCTGTCTTCCATGGCTTCTCCCCTTCCTCCGGTGATAATATTCCGTTCTGGACCATCTTTTCCTCCACCATTATGTCGCTATACTTTGCAAAGATTTCCACAACCTGGGCGAAAATGGTGGTTGTAAGCTGTAACTTGTAAGTAATTGTAAACGATGATGCGGTTGACTCATTTTTACAGTAAAATGTGTTAATTACCATTGCTGCATCTTCATGGTTCATCCCTAGAGCTCGATACCGATCAAGTAACGATTGTTCTTGAAGGCGGCGACGGTTAGTGACGTCCCATTCCGTCACGAGTTTCTCCTTCGCCGCCACGTCATGCTCTGTGTTACTCGAAACATAGTCTCCCATCCCCATTGATATCCCATCGGCCACCAAGTTAGCAAACCCCAAAACCAACACATCAACTGCAATAATCAAACACGATCGTTAAATGATCAATCTCTCAAAAACTTTAGCACGAGAGACTGGTTTTGAAAGTTCACCGGAAGATAAACGGCCGGCGGAGATGGAAGAAATGAGAGAAAACGAAGTGACGATAGCATCGAGTCCGGAGTACACTATGCTCTTCACAAGTTCGCCTTTCCATGGCTCTTTCGGCCTATCTCCGCAGCTGTTCTTCTCTGCTGCCTCCGTGTCTTGGAGCAAAGAGATGGTGGTTGTGGTGGCGCCATCGCTATTTCTGGACATTTTCGTTAGCTACCACCGTTTTTTAATGTGGGCTTTATAAAGAGTGTGTAGCTGATGTCGTGGCAGCTTGCATGCTTAATGGGTACTACACGTGTTTGTATCTGGTTAACTATTGACTTTTGCTGTTATATAAATTTTGATTAGTTAGTATACTTGGCAGCTTGCGATTTTTAAGTTATATAGGCAATGGTTGCACTTATTTAAATACATACCGGGAATTTAAATACATACCGGCAATGTAGCGCTACAATTAGGGTTTCATTAGGCCATCAAGCATCCCCAAATGAGTCAAACACAACAAGGTAAGCACGCGCCATCTAATACGGCGGCCGATGGCGGCTACCACCCTATGGTGGTGGTTAGAGCTTTTCTTTTCATTATTCCTACTCTATTACATTATTACAATGCAAATTTCAATAACACCCACACACTAAGCTTCACACACAATAATAAATTTAAACACACACAGCCACCTAGTGGTGGTCGGTGGTTTAAGGGTACTTAATCTCCTAAGGTTTAAAGAGCTAATTACCTCTTTCACACGAACTAAGTGTTATACACCTCGCTTGAATGCACGATGTCTAACTATGGGATACGGATAAGGAGATCATTCACAATGCAGTGGCTTGGCAACCCTCTTATCCTTGAACATAAGTTAAGCTCCTTAAAGTTTATAACATTTTCATGTCTCCAAAATTTGGGATCCTACCCTAGTGATTACTTAAGGTTTATAACATTTTCATGTTATCCAAAATTTGGGATCCCACCCATTGATTACATGTTATCCAAAAGTTGGGATTTTACCCCCGAAATAACATAAGGTTTATAACATCTTTATGTTACCACATGTTGGGATTTTTCTCTAGAAAATACACACAAATCGTAACATTTTCATAAGTAGGGAGATTTCCCATGAGATACGTCACAGGTTGGGATCCTCCCCAATACATAACATCAAACATGTTATCATTCGAACTTATGGTGTTACCCAAGATAACTATCAAATTTTATAACCTAAACAGGTTATACTGAGAAGTGAATTCCTCCGCGGGACCTGTAACATCCCGAAATATCAAGAGTAGAGCGGAAGGGCTAAAAGAGAAATTTGGGAAAGAGCGACTCGGCGAGTCCATGTGTGGACTCGGCGAGTAGAGTCGCGACTTGGTCGCGTGTTAAGTGGCCGACTCGACGAGTCAGTGTATTGGACTCGGCGAGTAGGCGCTGAGTGGAGAAAACCCTAATTCCCGGGGTTGAGCCTTATATAATGATCCTTATGTCTTCCTCCCAGCCTCTTTATCACCCCTTGAGCCCCAGAAAACCCTAAATCGCGGAGAAGCACCATTGTTGAGTGGATTGGAGCTTGGAGAAGTAATGGTTGAAGGAATTTTGGGAAGATTGAAGGCTTGGAGCAAGGGGCTTTGCTTGGATTCGAATTGCATTGCAGTTGGGGCATCACTTAGAGGTAATATCTCGTTTTGACCTGTTGATTATGTTGATCTTCATTTTGGAGTTTGTGAGAAATTGTCTATGGATGAAATGGGAAGTCTAGAGGTTAGATCTGAGGTTGCTACCTCAGATCTAGAAGGGAGAAGAATCAGAGAGCATGAAAGTCCCTGTGTTGGAGTGTTTAGTGAAGCTTGCATGTCCCAAACCCTAGCCCCAATGTGCAAACGGCTTAGATCTCTTTGGATTCACGTAAAGTTTGCCACTTTACGTGATGGATGAGTGGTAGGAGACTAGATCTATGTTTTGGAGCAATTGCATGGCCTGGAATGCTTCTGAATGGATTCAGGACGGTGGTACTCGGCGAGTCACATGGGTGTACTCGACGAGTTGGATGAAGATGGCCTGGAACTCGGCGAGTTGTATGAACAACTCGGCGAGTAGGTTGAAGATAGCCGTAGACTCGGCGAGTCTGTTCTTGGGCTCGACGAGTCTTGTCGAAGGGTCCCGATATTCTCTGGTTGGGTCGAGAATCGGTGAGTCGAGGGATGACTCGGTGAGTTGTGGGCGAGTGGACTCAGAGTTGTGGGACTCGGCGAGTCTCGGGGTGACTCGGCGAGTTGAGTTGCAATATGGGGAAGTTCTGATTATGGGAACTCGACGAGTCACAGGGTTGACTCGGCGAGTAGAGTCAGTCAAGGGTTGACCTAGACTGAGGACTTTGATTTCGACCAAGGGTTGGCCGTTGAGTTTTAGGGTTTGGACAGCGATGTGGCCTTTGGGCCAAGAGAGAGGTAAAATAGTCTTTTACCCATAAGAGGGTGTTATGAGAGGATGTATTCTAGCCTCGAGAGTTTTATTCATGAGAGTATTTGCCTTACGTGTTAGGCGGTGGCGAGTTCGAGATTCAAGTGTGGGGATATCTGCTTTCTGTTTGCCAGGTGAGTCTTCTCACTATACTTTACCTTGAGTAGGTAATCAGAGTTATGTGATCAGTGTATTTATATGCTATATGTACGTGATGTGTTGTACTGCATTATTTCTATGTGATTTATGCTGTGCATGTTACAGAGTTGGAACCGGAGGGTTCCAGAGTTAGAACCTGAGGGTTCACAGAGTTTGGGTGCACGGACCCATAGAGTTATAGCCTCGAGTGGCTAATATGTGTTATGTGTGGTATTTTGGGGAACTCACTAAGCTTCGTGCTTACAGTGTTTTGTATGATGTTTTTCAGGTTTCTTTCAGTATCACGGGACGGCACCGGCTTGATTGTACACACCAGAGGAAAAGTCATATTTTGGAGGATCCTGGTTTTCTATGCAAGTGAAAAAGGAGTTTTGTCTTTTGTAATTCGCTTATAAATGAGATTTTAAACAAGTGTTTCTAAGAACTTACGATTATTTTAAATGAAAAATTGTTTTGAAATTTACGGTGTTACAAGTTGGTATCAGAGCCTTGGTTTGAGGGATTCGGATGCGCCTTCGGGTAAATCTGGACTCAAACTGAGGAAGTACGAAAAGTTTTTTTTAAAGAAATAATTTTCTAAAAGTGAATAAGAGTTCAAAGAGAAAGCAAGAAGGAGCAGTGTGTACAATCAGCCAGAGCCCGAACGGTGATTTCCCAAAATACCCTTATTTTGTGTTATGAGATATTATTGCATGCTAGAGACAGGCTAGGTATTTCATATGTTAGGACTAGAGTGGCCTGATTTGTGATGCCTTAGCCTAGGACTTGTTGTTATGTGTGTTATGCTTTTGAGTATGTGATGAGTGAGAGTATCCAGTTAGAACCCAAGAGGGGTAGAGTTACAGAGTTCGGTGGTACTTTCGAGGATGAGCTGAGAAGGTGGAGTTATCACAGAGAGGGAGTCCTATGTATCCTTCGATGCTCGAATGCTGCTTGCTTTGTGCTTTGTGGAACTCTCGATGATGGGAGTCAGCTACCAAGTGAATATGACGATATTCAGGAGGTAGATGGCTGGCATCATTAGGAGCTCTTCAGCAGCTGATAGCAAAGAAGTGGGAGGACGACGGAAGAGCCTAGGGGATAACCCCATCCAGATGAGTGCGCTTGTAGAATAGAGAATTTCGTTGGGGAGCGAGCACGCGCGATGGGATTGGTGAAAGAGCAGGTCGAGCAGCTACTTAGAAGCTTTGGGATGGTTCGTGTGGAAAGTATGGGTAGATGTGGCAGGTAGTATGGGCCCGTACTACTGAAAGCAGAGGACCCATACTTGATACAGGGAGTATTCTGAAGGTTCTAAGGAGCGGATTGAGGAGTGATGTTATGGTTCGGGTACCATACATCAGAGCAGATTGAAGAGTGATGTTATGGTTGTGGTACCATACATCAGAGCGGATTGAGGAGTGATGTTATGGTTCGGGTACCATACATCAGAGCAGATTGAAGAGTGATGTTATGGTTCTGGTACCATACATCGGAGCGGATTGAGGAGTGATGTTGTGGTTCGGGTACCATACATCAGAGCAGATTGAAGAGTGATGTTATGGTTGTGGTACCATACATCAGAGCGGATTGAGGAGTGATGTTATGGTTCGGGTACCATACATCAGAGCAGATTGAAGAGTGATGTTATGGTTCTGGTACCATACATCGGAACGGATTGAGGAGTGATGTTATGGTTCGGGTACCATACATCGGAGTGGGTTGAGGAGTGATGTTATGGTTGGGTACCATACATCGGAGCGGATTGAGGAGTGATGTTATGGTTAGGGTACCATACACCAGGGCGTATTGAGAAGGAATGTCATGGAATGTGTACCATGGTTCGGAGTGAATGATGTTTGTGGTTCTCCGGTTATTCGGTCACGAGTAAGTTCGAAGAGGCGTCCCTTGAGAGGGAGATCGAGAGTCCCTCAGAGTATTCTAGTAAGGAGTCAGTGGAAGGGAGAATTTCGATCTGAGTTGAGTGATCAGTCGATTAAAGAGATGTCACCTCCTATGATCGGGGAGGTACTAATTATGTAAGTGTGAGAATATGAGAAGCATGATGTTTTGGTTTTGGGTTTAGGGGTAAACCCTGCAGGTCGTCATTGATGATGATTTCCCCCCCAGAGTATCAGGTAACATGTGTACCGCGAGGCAGTGATTTATCATTAGCAGATAGTCAGTTGGGACTAAGATAGTCGAGGGCCACGCTATACCTAATTGAGTATAGTCGGGTGTATGGTAGAAGTAGCAGTGGGGAGTTCAGTCGAGTTTAGTGGTGCAGAGAGTTTTCTATCCATGGGGTGTTGAATATGGGAGTGGGTCCTTGTTCGTGGGGTGATCCCGGTGTTGGAGCGTTGGTTGATGAGTTGAGGTGAGGGGTACGGTAATTTTATGGTTCAGTCTATGAGCCAGGGATGTTATTGAGCAGTTGATTTGTTGGTACTAGACTGGTAAGATATTTGGAACGACTAGAGGCAGACGTGACGAGAAGTTCTTGAGGAGTTCATCAGAGGTTCAGAGTATATGAAGTCAATTCATTTCCGTAAGGGGGAATATCGGGCGTTGTGTAGCACTTTCCGGGGGCAGGTGCGATTTTGCTAGAGAAT